ACCATTTAATGAAAGGATACAAAAATGCTTTCATCAATAAAATGTATCATATGCACTTTATTCATCAAATGTGTATGTTGGTTATTACTTTTTAGTAGCCCTTGGGTCCAGTGTTTGGTCCAATATCGTGAAAATTGGCCAACAAGTCGGCCCAGTAATTTGAAAACATGCCCTGTAAAAGGTCTTCAGATTCCTCTTACTGGTTCAACTTATTGTCCCGTTTCTTGAAAGTGTATTAATTCTTAGGGTTTAGAGAGTCTAAAAAGAAAGAAAGAGAGAGAGAGAGAGAGAGAGAGAGAGAGAGAGAGAGAGAGAGAGAGAGAGATGAGCCCAGAAATTGACCCTTTAACATGAAAACAGACTGAGAGAGATGGGCTCAGAAGTTGGTCCTATAACATGAAAACGGGCCGATAACATACCCTGTAAAAGTTTTTCGGATTCCTCTTGCTGGTTCGACTTGTAGCCTTATTTTTCTTTTCTTTTTTCTCTCTCATCTGATCTACCTCTCCAGAGCTGAACTTTGTTGAGATCTCAAGGGAGGAGGAGTAGTTACGAGAGGAGAATGAGTAGTTACCAGAGGAGGAAGATGAGTTGTTACTAAAGAAGGTGAAGTTACTGAAGAAGTTACCGAATGAGGAGTTACCGGAGGAGGAAGAGAAGTTGTTACCAAAGGAGGAGGAGGAGTGATCGAATGAGGAGTTACTGAAAGGGGAGAGAGAGTTACCGAAGCAGGAGTTACCGAAATGAGGAGTTACCAGAGGAGGAAGATGAGTTGTTACCAGAAGAGGAGGAGGAGTTACCGGAGGGGGAGTTACCAAAAGAGATCACATCAAAGATCCCAGAGGAGAAGCATGATAAGTGGTTTTTATTTTTTATTTTTTAATGTTACTCTTTTAATTATGAGATAATTGAAATTTTTTTATATAGTTGTTTTCTGCTTCTTTTATTTTAGGAAACTAAAGTGTCTTTTAGTTCTTATCTGCTTCCATTCAACCATATGGACCAATTTTTATTTTTATTTTATATTTTAGTTGTTTTTGTTTGTGGAATTTCAAAAACAATGAAATTTAGCTACTTACTTGTGGAGGGGCATGTTCACTCATTGCAAACAACTTTTTTCGCTCTATCTCTATCTCTGAGACTCTGTAAACACTAAGACTTAATATACTTATAGGAAAAGGGCCAACAAGTCGAACCCGTAAGAGGAGTCCGAAGAACTTTTATAGGGCATGTTTTCAAATTACTAGGCCGACTTCTTGTTCTTCACTACAAATGGATTCATTTTACTTAATGAACTAAAAGGCATGATTGAACTGCATTAGATTGGGTTACATTAAGTATCATTTATTCATGATCACTACTAGTGTCTCGTGTTTGTGTTGCCACTCCCGGGTCTTGAGTACAAGGGTTAAGGGGTTGGAGTAGTGCATTTTGTATCTCATATTCTTGATAAGATAAGTTTTTTTTATCCTAATTGAATTCATTTTTTAGCACCAAACATGAATCACGATATTGAATTAAACTAATCCAATTTGCTACTTATCGTACCCACCAAACGAGGAGGAACATGCCTTCCCCATGATGGAGGTGGGCTGTAGCCTATCCGAAATCTACATAGTATAATCCAACCCACTACCCTAGTAGCCCATCAGCCCATACTTCCACACCCCTACCGTCTGCCTTATCCATTATGTACACGACACTGCCCAAAGCACAACTGTCGCTCAGCCTCATCCTCCTCCTTGTAACCGCTCCACTCTCCAGCCTCTGTGAGTTCCTCATCCTTCTTCCAATTCAATTTATGATTTTGTTTCTTAGTTCTAATTTAGGGATTTAGGAACAAATTTAATGCACTTTTGAGTTTCTTTTTGTAGGTGTCAATCAGTGACTTTCCTAAATTGAATCCCTAAATTAGGCATTAATAAAAATTTTAAAATTAAAAAAAAAGATATAAATTAAATCCCTAAACTTGGCTGAGCTTATTGTATTCCTATAATTCAGTTCTTAAAGGTCCTAAGGTATGGATGTAAACTTTTTGCTGCTATGGGTTCGTCTGTGCATGCAATTAATGTATTTCTCATCTTCTTCTTCTCACTGTGAATGTTGACACTGCATCTATGCTTTGTGCAGCCCCTGTAATGGCGGCCCTAGTGTCACACCTCGAATCGGCTCCGCCATAGCATAATATTGTCCGCTTTGGGCCCCCTCTATGCCCTCACAGTTTTGTTTATGGGAGCTCACGAGCAACTTCCCAGTGGGTCACCCATCTGGGATTGCTCTGGCCCCAACTCGTTTAACTTCGGAGTTCCCATGACTCCGAAGCCAATGAGCTCTCAAAAGGCCTAGTGCTAGATAGATGCGGGCATGTACATATAAGGTACATCACCTCATCTCCGTTGGTCGATGTGGGATGTTACAATCCACCCCCCTTAGGGGCCCAATGTCCTCGTCAGCACACTCGCACCACACGGCAGAATGGCTCTGATACCAAATTGTCACACCCCAGATCGGCTCCGCCGTAACACGATATTGTCCTCTTTGGGCTCCCCTCTCTGCTCTCACGGTTTTATTTCTGGGAACTCACGAGCAACTTCCCAGTGGGTCACCAATCTTGGGATTGGTCTGGGCCCAACTCGCTTAACTTCGGAGTTCCCATGACTCCGAAGCCAGGGAGCTCCCAAAAGGCCTCGTGCTAGATGGAGGCGGACATGTACATATAAGGTACATCACCCCCTCTCCATTGGTCGATGTGGGATGTTACAGGCAAGGTCTAAAATATCGGTGGTATTGGAAATATCGGAAGTCCAAAAACACGGAAATATCGGGATATTATCGGTATCGGTAAAAATTGAATAAAAACCAAGGAAATTGTAAGAAAAACTTGGAAATTTTTATTGAAACTTTGCAGGATGTTTATTTAGTCAATTATCTATTAGTTTATCACAAAAAATTGGAAGGAAATGCATTGCATGATGGATTTAACTGATTTAAGTTGATTATATAGCGAGCTGGCAAACACCGTAAGTGTAGAAAATATGTAGTAATTAATGAAAGAAGATTAAACACACCATAATCATTTATATATAATGAATTACTACAATATTTTACATTTTATACATTGCATGGTAAGATACATGAGTAACTTAGTACCACATAGAGTTCCTATGAGGTTCAAAATTTTCACTATCTTCATCATCTCTATGTGTAGAGTAAGTATATTTTGAAGGGTAGTCATCAAATGATAAATCCCCAAAATAGTTTTGCATGTAATTGTTAACATGCACCCATATGGATCCGAGATTGGTTGACGTTGTCCATAAGCAAAATCATTTGAAGATTGAGTCTCGGATTCTTTCCATGAGTCGCTTGATTCCATCCCAACAGGAATGTGATATGAAGGGTAGGGAAATGGTTGGTTATTAGTATAACCATAATTACTACTTCCTACTCCAACAGAGTCCGAAGTTATAGATAACGAGTCATTTTCTTGACTTGACAAAGTCCCCTTGCCTCTTTCTCTACGAGTCATCTTCTTGACTTCACAAAAACATAAATGATATGGTGGTTAAGGTGTTGAAGGAGTAAAATGGGAGGGTTCGAATCCCTCTATGCGCAACAAGGGAGGCTTTTCAAAAAATTTCATGTATTTTTTGGGTTTCGTATCGGGATATTATCGATAATATCTCGATATATTGCCCAAATCATTCATAAAAATGTTGAAGTTATCTCCCCGATATTATCGGGATAATATCGATATTATGACGATAACACCATGGTTAGTTGCTAAAATATCGGCCCCCCAAAATTCAGATATTATCGGGATAATATCGATATTTAAGACCTTGGTTACAGGTGCTATCGAAGGGGAGGGGGAAATCGCATGAGGAGAGAGAGAGAGAGAGAGAGAGAGAGAGAGAGAGAGAGAGGATTTTATGTTTTTATTAAAAAAATCCAAATTTTGAAAATATTATGATTGTGCCACACCTTCCATCCTCCATAACCACCACAGCCGACCATCACCGACCACCAGACCGGTCGGGTTAGAGCCGCAACCACCCCAGCAACCTTTCCCGACCAACCCCGATGCCATCTGCTGTCGAAAAACACAGAAAAAGCCGTCGGTTTTGACAGATTTTCCAGCCACTCGAACTCCCTCCTCCAGCCACCAATCTTGTTGTGTGAGGTATGGATTTTCATCTATTCTTCGAGATCTAGCTAATGGTTGGGTATGATTGAAACGATTTTTAGCATAGGTAACTCAAATCGGGATTCAAAGTTGGCCGGTTTTCAATTTGAATTTCCGGCCACTTCCGGACACTTTTCGGGGAGCCTTTATCGCTTTGGATACCCACGCGCTGCCGACGCGTGTGGCGGCGCATGGGCACTGTGGCAGAGGGGCATTGTGTCCCAATACGATCCCCTTGATGTCACGAGTGCATAGGAATTTGCGAATTTCAATTCGGATAACGTTTGAACCCAAACAGATTTTACATATTGTGCGATTTTCGGGTTCGATACGTTAGAACCGTTGGATCGCTTTCAATTTATTATATGTTGATCTAGACATTCCTAGGATCTTGTAGGATTTTGCGGATCGTGATTCGGAGCCCCGGATGTGCCGATTTAATAACTTGAAGTTTGTGGTTTGCGATAACTGTCCGATCGTGCGATCGTAAGCAATCCAACCGTTCAATTTGGATCAAACTCGTAGGACGTGTTTTCTAAACTTAGTTGGATCTATAGGAACTTTCGGATTGTGAAACGGAGGTCGTGGGCCTTGTAGGCCCGGTTGACCTGATTCGGGAAATTTGACCGCCCGGTTGACCAAATGTCTTCCGAGGCTTTTCCATCGCCCTAGATGCGTAGTCGGACTCTAGGATACCTCGTTTTATGTGCACACATCGGGAGTCCGTAGACGCGTAGTGGGCTCGATTCGGAGTTGTAACGAAGAAAATACGATCTAAAAACCTTCAGTGGCACAATCATAATATTTTCAAAATCTGGATTTTTTAGTAAAAACAGAAAATCCTTTTTTTTTCTCTCTCTCTCTCTCTCTCTCTCTCTCTCCGTGCGATTTCACCCTCCCCTTCGACAGCACCTCCCAGCCGCACCTTACATCCTCCATAACCACCGCAGCCGACCACCACCGACCACCAGACCGGCCGGGTTAGAGCCGCAACCACCCCAGCAACCTTTCCCGATCAGCCCCGACGCCATCCGCCGCCGTCAGCAGCCGGAAAACGCAGAAAAAGCCGTCGGTTTTGACAGCTTTTCCAGCCACTCGAACTCCCTCCTCCGGCCACCAATCTTGACGTGTGAGGTATGGATTTTCATCTATTCTTCGAGCTCTAGCTGATGGTTGGGTAGGATTGAAACGATTTTTAGCGTAGGTAACTCAAATCGGGATTCAAAGTTGGCCGGTTTTCAATTTGAATTTCCGGCCACTTCCGGCCACTTTTTAGGGTATGTCCAACATATTAAACACAAAATCAACACCAAATTTCCACTTTCCTCTATAACTTTAGATTTCAAATCCCGAAGTTTAATTTGTTTGGTTATCAGATTTCAGAATTTGTTTCGAATTTGGTGGGAGTGAAATTTTAGGACAAAACAATGTCATCGCCAGACATTGCAGGAATACTGGACAAGTCAAAAGAGCTCGATCAATTAAGGAAAGATCAAGAAGAGGTGCTCGTCGAGATAAACAAGATGCATAAGAAGCTCCAAGCCAGTGAGTCATTCTGTTAGTCCTTGGAGATATCTTTTAAATTTTTATAATTGGTTTTGTCCTTTTTACAGTACGTATTTCATTGGAATATTGTTCATGTTTGATTTTTGTTTTAATCGATCAGTTGGTGAATAGTGAAGAATGACCAGTATCAGTATGTTTTACATATAATATTAATTTCTTTTTCAATCTCTCTTTGCGTGTCTATATAGCTCCTGAAGTGGTTGAGAAGCCTGGGGATAATTCGTTGGCGAAGTTGAAGACTTTATATGTTCATGCCAAAGAGCTTTCTGAAAGTGAAGTGAAGTATGTTTGTTTTATATCCTAAATGAAGTTGAAAACTTCCTTGGAACTGAAAAACAAAAACGTGTTTAAAAAGTTCCTATTAAGCTTACATATACCTTTACCTCTTTGGGTCGTTTGGCTGAAGATTAAAAGAAATATGTTTCTGAAGCTCATGCTCGTCATAACTTCTTTTTCGTACCTTAGTTTATTGACAACCTATTCAGGTTAGTTTATTGTGTTTGCTTGCAGTGTTTCAAATTTGTTGTTGAGTCAACTTGATGCTCTGTTGCCTTCTGGACCTCCAGGGCAGCCACGGAGAAGGATGGGTATGGATCAAAGACCTATTAGCATTCCTCTTAAAAAATTACAGTTTTCTGTTGGCTTATAGATAAATCTTTTGCAGTCTTTGTTTTCAAGATAAACAAATCATGAGTGTCCCAAGCCCTTTCGTTCAGTTGGTTTCATTGATAGATACCAATATATATATGCTTACCAAGTATATAAATATATATGGCATTATATCGAGTGACTAAAATTCCAATGAGATTCCCGTGCTTTTTATTTGGAAAACACTCTATTTTCTTCATTTAGCTGATATTACATATACTGCAGAAGGTAATGAGCAGAAAAGGAAGAGAATGAAGAGTGATTCAGATATTTCGAGGATGTCCCCCTCCGTGCGAAGTCAACTTGAGCTTTTTGCTAGTCTAAAAGGTGAACAGGTATGCAGCATCATGGTGATCTGTCATCTCTGGCTGCGGCACGCAGCCAGCTACTCTAGCACTCTCGGTTAAAATGTTGTACTTCACCTAATTGATACTCGTTGAAGTTCTGTTTTTACTGATATTTACTTTCACTTTTAGGTAGCAGCTAGGGTCATGGTCACTCAAGAAGATGCTGAAAAGGAAGAGTGGCTTGTTGTAAAAGTATTGCATTTCGACAAGGAAACAAGAGAGTAAGTTTCGATTTACTTTCTATATGACAACTTTTGTAGTTTACCGTGATAATTGATTGAGCACAGTCAGTATCTGTCAGCAGGTTGCTTTGTTTAATGTGGATATCGTGTGATGTTAGTTAATAATAATGGAACAAAATGATATGAAGAATGACACTCCACTGGGCTACTTATTCTTTCAGAACCTACTTGATCCTTTTATTAAAATGCCAGTTTACGTGCAGACTTGAAGTACTAGATGAGGAGCCAGGTGATGATGAAGAAGGTGGTGGCCAAAGGTGACTTCTCTTTTTGGGTGTTTTAACAATTCTGTTTTCTCTGCTTTGTATTGAATGATTTTCCGATACTTAACAACTCTCTGTTTCATGATTATTTTTATATTAGCTTTACACAAATGAATTTTGAAATTACGTGCTTATCACAATGCCAATTAGCTGAATCTAAGTTGCTCACTATTTGGGATATCCTCTTTATTTTTCTCTGTTGTCATTGCTGCTCTCAGAAAGTACAAGTTGCCTATGACAGCTATTATCCCTTTCCCCAAGAGAACTGATCCTTCCAGTGCCCAAGATTTCCCTACTGGAAGACACGTTTTGGCAGTATATCCAGGAACAACTGCACTATATAAGGCAACTGTGGTGAACGGCCATCGCAAGGTGATGATTCCATCCATGCACTTTGATTCACTTTTCATTTTTTCTTTCGTGGATTCCAGTCCTTTTTGTTTCGTTTTAGTGATTATGATGTGGAACTAACCCACCCCTGGTTATGTTGTTTGCGTGCTTCTGTGGGATGCTCAACCATCAGAGGAAGACAGATGAGTAAGTGATATCGATTTGTGCTTTATTTGCATTCCCGAATTTTGGTAGCAGTGCATTGTTTATGTGGTTTCGAAATCTAAATTGAAAATATATAATACAAACCACCTATAACCTAATGACCTGCAAATGGAAACAATTATACTTGTTTCAAGTACTCGAACAACACTATTTTCTGCATATATATTAGAAGGATACATGATATGTTCAGTTTGGGTTTGGACAGGTATTTGCTGGAATTTGATGACGACGAGGAAGATGGAGCCTTGCCTCAGAGGGTAGTGCCCTTCCATAAGGTGGTTGCCCTGCCAGATGGACATCGCCAGTGATTCGTTCTTGCCGTTTATAGAATAACTTTATGCATAAATTAAATTAATTTACCCTCACCACCCCCATCCGCACCCCCACAGTACACTACTCTGTAAAACAGTACAGTACTCTGTAACCACACGTTTACTAGCTCTTCTTAATTTAAGCATCTACTCTATTCTTTTTTATGTAGAGTCACATATGTTTTATTTCTTCATTAGAGTCTCGGCAATGAAAGCTCACCAGTTGGTGATACAACACGTGTTTTATTTACAAACACTTTACCCTATATTATAAACTCTGTTGTTTAAAGGAGTTGTGAGTTAGGTTAGTTGTTCGTCAAAGTTCGAGCACCTTTTTTACCTTATTTTTAAATTTTAAATTTTTTTGGCCAAATACCCATTTCATGTTGCATAATGTATAATTATGAGTTTAATAAATTAAACAGCTAACATGAATATCAATATTATAGGATTGGCGAAAAAAATATGAATATTATAGAAAATAAAAAATAGTTATAGTTTACATATAGGCTATGCAAGTGGACCCACTGTGATCTCCAAAACCCTTCCCCTTCAAATTCCCTGTCTTCGTTGCCTCCTCCGCCCATTCTTTCGATCATCCTCGCCGCCGACAATCCATGGCTTCCGCAATCGGAGCCCCATTGTCATCCAAACTCCTTTTCACGCCCTCAGCACCAACTTCATCCTCACTCTCTCTCTCTACCCACCTATCTCTCTCTAAACCCAACCAAAAACCCACCATCCCCAAAACCCTAGCTTGCTCCATGCCAAACACCCCACCCTTCCTCTCCTCCACCTTCCTCACCACCACAAATGTCTCCCCAGTCTTGCGACCCCCACCATCGCTCCGCCGGCGCCGATCCTTCACCGTCCGGATGGCACGTGGCAAATTCGAGCGCAAGAAGCCGCACGTGAACATAGGCACAATCGGCCACGTTGACCACGGCAAGACGACCCTGACAGCGGCCCTGACCATGGCCCTAGCCTCCATGGGCAACTGTGCCCCGAAGAAGTACGACGAGATCGACGCCGCCCCCGAAGAACGCGCGCGCGGGATCACCATCAACACCGCCACCGTCGAGTACGAGACCGAAACCCGCCACTACGCCCACGTGGACTGCCCCGGCCACGCCGACTACGTCAAGAACATGATCACCGGCGCCGCCCAGATGGACGGCGCTATCCTAGTCTGCTCCGGCGCCGACGGCCCCATGCCCCAGACTAAGGAGCACGTATTGTTGGCCAAACAAGTCGGCGTGCCCAATGTAGTTGTGTTCTTGAACAAGCAGGATCAGGTCGACGACGACGAGCTGCTTGAGCTGGTGGAGTTGGAGGTCCGAGAGCTTCTGTCGTCGTACGAGTTTCCGGGAGACGATGTGCCGGTGGTTTCTGGGTCGGCATTGTTGGCTTTGGAGGCTTTGATGGCGAACCCTGAGATCAAGAGAGGGGAGAATGAGTGGGTGGACAAGATATATGAGCTGATGGATGCTGTGGATAATTACATTCCGATTCCGCAACGGCAGACGGACCTTCCTTTTTTGCTGGCGATCGAGGACGTGTTTTCGATAACAGGGCGAGGCACGGTGGCCACGGGGAGGGTGGAGAGGGGTAGAGTGAAAGTTGGGGACCATGTGGACATTGTGGGATTGAGAGAGACTAGGAATACAACAGTGACTGGGGTTGAGATGTTTCAGAAAACGCTTGATGAGGCTATGGCTGGTGACAATGTGGGGCTTCTGCTGAGGGGTATTCAGAAGATTGATATCCAGAGGGGGATGGTGGCGGCCAAGCCGAAAAGCATCACGCCACATACCAAGTTTGAGGCCATTGTGTATGTGTTGAAGAAGGAGGAGGGAGGGAGGCATTCCCCGTTTTTCCCAGGGTACAGGCCGCAGTTTTACATGAGGACGACGGATGTTACGGGGAAGGTGACCGGGATAATGAATGACAAGGATGAGGAGTCAAAAATGGTGATGCCGGGGGACCGGGTGAAGATGGTGGTGGAGCTTATAATGCCGGTGGCTTGCGAGCAGGGAATGAGATTTGCTATTAGGGAAGGTGGCAAGACCGTTGGGGCTGGTGTCATCCAGTCCATTATTGAGTGAGTTTCGTAGTGTTATTAGTTAGGGTGTTCAGTCGGTGTTTATTTTATGATTAAATCTATAGAGAACTTACTTAGTTACTTATGGTGTGGATTATAGTTTTGTTGATAGCTTGATCGCTTTCAACTTTGCTCTCTTTGTCACTTTCTTGCTTTTATAATGATTTTTGGAGTTGCTGTTGTAGTAGCATGGTAACTGTTGAAGTTTTTGCAACAAGAAGTTCAATACTTTTTGTTAAGTGTTTTGTAAGAGTTATTAAGAGAAGTAAAATAAGGTGAGAAGCAGAGCAATTTTTGTTGTCATGTGAAGTTTCTGTGTCCCTTCTGAGTTTTGGCTCTTTGTTGAGTTGAAGGGGATGAGGAACTGGGATTGATATGAATGTTATCGGATTGAAAGTGAAGTCAGTTGCCATCTGTTTGTTTGTTGCTTTCTGAATCTTACATGTATTTGGTTGTCACAATCAAATCAAAGTTTAATGGTCCAGGATGTATTTGGAGCAGTGTGTGTTGTTTTCTCTCAGTTTTACATCACCCCACCCCCTTGTTTGCACCACCACCACCACCACCACCACCACTATTGTATGTAGTTGTGACAATCAAATCAAAGGTTAGTGGTCCAGGATATATCAGAATTGGACCTCAAGTGTCATTCTGTCAAGCATGCAGCTTGGTGTAGGGTAGGTGATCTCACATTTTTTGTCGGTAAGAGGGGTGCTAAGGACAGTTGCCCTCGACTGCAACAAGACAGTTTCTGGGTTCTCTCTTGTTGTCCTTTTTTATTTTTGACACCAAAGAGTTTGCATATCTTTTGCAGTCGATGAGAATGCAACGCAAACAAGTAATCTGGTTATGCCCTTCTTCAGTCGAAATGCATTTGTGTGTCTGTATTAATATTATTGTTAATGCTCAACTCTGCATCATGTTCATTAGGTCTTGAGGGTTCTAAAACTAGAAGAGAATCGAGAATTTATGAATTGCCATGAGTTGATGTTAATGGGAAAAGAAAAAACTGATTGAAGCAGTCATCATATGAATTCCATATCCTCGTGATGAAGATTTTCAAAGACTGTCTGAGTCTATATGTCCCTTCTCTTGTAATACATCTTGTTACTAATTGCTAACCTTCTCAAAATAATAATAATAATAATAATAATTGCTTTCCTAGCTCAATATCCAACCCCATATTGCTGTGGTACTCTTAACTCCGATGACAAGCTTGAGTGATCGGAGTTGGCGGGTTCGATGACAAAGAGCCATTAAGTATATGATTAGCAACCCACTGGTTGGCACCCTGAGTATAGTGAACTCCATCCCAGCTGATGTAAGACGAAGGATTTTGACAAGAAGGACCATATACTTCACTTCCATTCACCATTCCTTTGTTCCCACACCAGACATGGTCGTACTTCACATGGTACCCACAACAAACCTTCATTGGATCAGCAAATCCTGCAAGCAAACAATGCATCAGTAATTGGGTATCTAATAACATAATTAGCGGTAAGATAATGAAATCGAACAATCGGGTACCTTCAGTTTTTGCATTGCTAATCAGTCCATACTTGGCAGCATAGACATCCACATATGTGATTGCAGCTTGTGGGAGCTCAGCTCTTAGTTTGATCACTCTGTCCTTGAACTGCCTGTTGAACTCTATGGCTATGTCATTCTGGCCCTTGACACAGCCATGGTCGTCAAGATAGCTCACCACCACAAATGTCTCCCCAGTCTTGCGACCCCCACCATCGCTCCGCCGGCGCCGATCCTTCACCGTCCGGATGGCACGTGGCAAATTCGAGCGCAAGAAGCCGCACGTGAACATAGGCACAATCGGCCACGTTGACCACGGCAAGACGACCCTGACAGCTGCCCTGACCATGGCCCTAGCCTCCATGGGCAACAGTGCCCCGAAGAAGTACGACGAGATCGACGCCGCCCCCGAAGAACGCGCGCGCGGGATCACCATCAACACCGCCACCGTCGAGTACGAGACCGAAACCCGCCACTACGCCCACGTGGACTGCCCCGGCCACGCCGACTACGTCAAGAACATGATCACCGGCGCCGCCCAGATGGACGGCGCTATCCTAGTCTGCTCCGGCGCCGACGGCCCCATGCCCCAGACTAAGGAGCACGTATTGTTGGCCAAACAAGTCGGCGTGCCCAATGTAGTTGTGTTCTTGAACAAGCAGGATCAGGTCGACGACGACGAGCTGCTTGAGCTGGTGGAGTTGGAGGTCCGAGAGCTTCTGTCGTCGTACGAGTTTCCGGGAGACGATGTGCCGGTGGTTTCTGGGTCGGCATTGTTGGCTTTGGAGGCTTTGATGGCGAACCCTGAGATCAAGAGAGGGGAGAATGAGTGGGTGGACAAGATATATGAGCTGATGGATGCTGTGGATAATTACATTCCGATTCCGCAACGGCAGACGGACCTTCCTTTTTTGCTGGCGATCGAGGACGTGTTTTCGATAACAGGGCGAGGCACGGTGGCCACGGGGAGGGTGGAGAGGGGTAGAGTGAAAGTTGGGGACCATGTGGACATTGTGGGATTGAGAGAGACTAGGAATACAACAGTGACTGGGGTTGAGATGTTTCAGAAAACGCTTGATGAGGCTATGGCTGGTGACAATGTGGGGCTTCTGCTGAGGGGTATTCAGAAGATTGATATCCAGAGGGGGATGGTGGCGGCCAAGCCGAAAAGCATCACGCCACATACCAAGTTTGAGGCCATTGTGTATGTGTTGAAGAAGGAGGAGGGAGGGAGGCATTCCCCGTCTTTCCCAGGGTACAGGCCGCAGTTTTACATGAGGACGACGGATGTTACGGGGAAGGTGACCGGGATAATGAATGACAAGGATGAGGAGTCAAAAATGGTGATGCCGGGGGACCGGGTGAAGATGGTGGTGGAGCTTATAATGCCGGTGGCTTGCGAGCAGGGAATGAGATTTGCTATTAGGGAAGGTGGCAAGACCGTTGGGGCTGGTGTCATCCAGTCCATTATTGAGTGAGTTTCGTAGTGTTATTAGTTAGGGTGTTCAGTCGGTGTTTATTTTATGATTAAATC